TCACCTTCCTTATGTGAAATGGATCATAAAAAGGGTCTTCGAAGACGTGTTTTTAATCACACCGCTGTGAATAATTGAGTCAAATGGAGAAAGCTTCGTGAAATTGCTTCGAATGACGAACTATTTTAAGCTGCTGCATTCTTTTAACCCCGGGAAAATGTTTCTTAGTATTTTTTTCCCGTGGCTGAAAGGTTCATAATTTCCCATGTAATAAAAGTATTCGCACATAATTGACTATGTTGGAACTTACATCATTTTGAATGATGTGTCCATCGTTTTTTTTTCTTGATATTTGGGTATTCGACCGTAATCCATTGCGGGACTAGGGTAGAATTATTGCAAAGCGGTCAAATTGCAAAGCAATGTCAAATGCGATGTTTTCTACATCGTATTTGACATTTTTGCGCATCTCTGTGGGTCGAAATGCGGGGCCTAGGTCAAATTGCAAGTTGACCTCCCAGCAATTTTGACCATCGAATTTCAGGATGGTCAAATTGCGGGAGTTCGAATTGCGAGGTACCACGTGTATTTTCCCCCGGGGATGGCAAAAAAAATAATAAGTGAAAAATGTAGGTGATACCAGAAAGTTTCTCTCTGTGCTGTTCCATTTCTTTGTATTTTTTTTTGAAATCACAGCAAACTTCAAAAATTTTCTGTTTCTTGCTTGATGATTCCTCTGAGGAAAAAGTTATGGAACCCAAAATTCGAGATAAATGCGTCATTTATCTTAAAAACTTAAAACGACGAGGGTTTGAGAGTTACGCCAAAAGTTTCGACGAGACCCGCGGATATTGCGTGCGAAAGTCAGTAAATCATTCAAAAAATTAGCGAAGTCATCCATGAGTTCTTTGTAGGCTAAATATTTTGTTTCTGTTTTAATTCATTAGGAAGAACATGAGTTTAAACTTTACACTGTTCTGTTTTTCGCTTGATTCCTCTGAGGAAAAAGTGATGGAAGGTACAATTCAAGATAAATGCGTCCGTCAATTTTTAAAACGACGAGGATTTGAGAGTTACGCCAAAAGTTTCGACGAGACCCCTGGATATTGCGTGCGAAAGTCAGTAAATCATTCAAAAAATTAGCGAGGTCATCCATGAGTTCTTTGTAGGCTAAATATTTTTTTCTGTTTTAATTCATTAGGAAGAACATGAGTATAAACTTCACACTGTTCTGTTTTTCGCTTATTTCGTCTGAGGAAAAAGTAATGGAACGTACAATTCAAGATAAATTCGTCCGTCAATTTTTAAAATGACGAGTGTTTGAGAGTTACGCCAAAAGTTTCGACGAGACCCGCGGATATTGCGTGCGAAAGTCAGTAAATCATTCAAAAAATTAGCGAGGTCATGACCGAGTTTTTCGCCGGCTATATTTTTTGTTTCTGTTTTTATTCATCATGGAGAAGATGAGTGATGACCTCGAATGAGTCATTGTCTCGAATCATTGCATTTATTTTTTTTTCAGACCCTGCGACCGCCCAAGTACGTGTTCTGGAGCCACAATCAAAAGCAGATTGATCACGCAGCTGTGAATTCGAGGATCACTGTGAAGACGAGTCCAGCAGCTACGCGAACTCACAGTCAGTTGGTGGTGCACAATGCCCGAGGAGCTGACACAGGAAATTACACCTGCGCCACTGTGGGTGCAGCAGAAGCTCACACTTACGTTTTTGTTGAAGATGGTGAGAATTTTTTATCATTGCACCTTGTCTCTCTCTCTCTCTCTCTGCACTGCAACTAATAACGCTGATGAAAGATTTTCGGAAATGAATAGTGGAACACAGCACTAATTTCGAAACCATGTAGGAAAGCTATTCATGCCCCGCAAGTGATATATTTGTGAAAAATTGCGGGAATTTAAAAATTTTGTTGTCACAGCTTTCGAAACTCGCAAACATTTTTCGAAAGCTTTTCATTTTCAACTTCGCATTTTCGTTCTTCGCTTTTCATTTTCGCATTTTCAACTAACGTTGTCGACACATTTTTGAAATAAATAGTGGAATACAATAACGCTCAATCCGAAACCATCGAGGAAAGCTGGCTTTTCCCGTAAAGCGATGAATTTGAAAACAAATTAAAGGATGCGGAAATTTCCACTCAAATATTGTCACAGCAGCTTGCGTAACTTGCAAACGTGCAGCGTGAATTTTCAACTAACGTTGTCGACACGTTTTCGAAATAAAAAGTGGAACACAATAACACTCAATCCGAGACCATCGAGGAAAGCTAGTTTTTCCCCTTAATGATTGATGCATTTTAAAAAAATTTACAGGATCCGGAAATTGTCACTCGGATATTATCACAAATTTCAAACGTGCTGCATTTTCAACTAACGTTGACGATACACTTTCGAAATAAATAGTGGAACACAATAACACTCGATCCGAGACCATCGAGGAAAGCTGGTTTTTACCGTAAGGTAAAGAATTTATTGAAAACAAATTACAGGATTCCGAAATTTTCACTCGAACATTGTCACAGCAGCTTGCGTAACTTGCAAACGAGCTGCGAGCATTTTCAACTATCGTTGTTGACACCTTTTCGAAATAAATAGTGGAACACAATAACACTCATCGATCCGAGACCATCGAGGAAAAATAGTTTTTTTTCCTTAATAAGTGATCCACTTGAAAAAAAATGTATAGGATCCGGAAATTGTCACTCGAATATTATCACAAATTTAAGACGTGCTGCTTTTTCAACTAAAGTTGACGACACATTTTCGAAATAAATAGTGGAACACAATAACACTCAATCCGAGACCATCGAGGAAAGCTGGTTTTTCCCGTAAAGTGATGAATTTGAAAATAAATTACAGAATCCGGAAATTGTCACTCGAACATTGTCACAGCAGCTTGCGTAACTTGCAAACGAGCTGCGAGCATTTTCAACTATATCGTTTTTGACACCTTTTCGAAATAAATAGTGGAACACAATGACACTCGATCCGAGACCATCGAGGAAAGCTAGTTTTTCCCCTTAATAAGTGATCCATTAAAAAAAATGTACAGGATCCGGAAATTGTCACTCGAATATTATCACAAATTTCAAACGTGCTGCATTTTCAACTAATGTTGACGAGGCATTTTTTAAATAAATAGTCGAACACAATAACACTCAATCCGAGACCATCAAGGAAAGCTAGTTTTTCCCCATGAACGATGAATTAAAAAAAGATTACTGGCTTTTGACATTTCCACTCATTCATTACGTAACTTGCGAACGTGCTGCATTTCAAGCTAATGCTGATGACGCATTTTCGAAACGAACTATTCGAAATGCGTCATCACCAGTATAGGTAGTCTCGGAAAAACACATAATTTATTCCGAGACTACCAAGGAAAGCTATGTTTTGTCCGCATAAGTAATGCTTTTTTTTTATTACAGGATTTAGAAATTTCCACTCAAACATTGCCACAGCTTGCGTAACTTGCAAACGTGCTGCATTGATGAGATGATTATGTAACAACTGTACACTGCTATAGCCTACTTTTATAATTATTTTTTGTCAATGAGGCTACGAAAAATTAATGACAACAAAGGTTTGGAAATAAGAAACAGAACACGACAATCGATCTTAGACAAGTAGGACATTTTGTTGTTGTAAGTATGTTCCAAACAATTGGACCTCTCATTTTGTCTCGTTGATAAATTCGAACGTTCACATAGTTCGGAAATTGTCACTCAAACACTGTCTAAGCATGAGTAGACCCATGTTTAATTTATCAGATGATCATTTAATACCGGCTCCTGTTTGCTGGTAGAAATTGAGTATTATAATTGGTTTCAAGGATGCAACAAACGATTCCAGAAATGAATGATGAACACAGTATTGTCAACCCAGACAAAATTGGAAATGTCTTCGTTGAGGTTCAAGAAATATTCGGACGGTTAGTCGTTATATGTACTTATGTCCCATTCAGCTTTTGTAAAAAAATTACTCGGTTATTCGGTGATTGTGTTCACTGAAGCAAGGTCACAGCTTACGTAACTTGAATTCATTGATCAACTAATTATCTAACGACTGTTTCCTAGCTTGTTTTTTTTTACATTTTATAGTCTTGCAGACGTAAGACTTGCACATCTAATTCAGGCAGTTTTTTTTAACGTAAATATCTTTACGCGAGGTCCTGTGTGTAAAAAATTGAAAACAGGTGATTTTCATTTAAAACATAGAGTAAATCCATTTGTTCTAAATCCTGCTTGAAATCTCCCCCCTTTTGACGTAATGTTATCACTTATCAATGAGTAATTATTTACAGAATCATTAAAATGTATGAACGTATCTCTTTTGACCCCATTGGCTGACGTTCTGTTCAAGGCCGTATCATCAAAAGCTTTCGAAGCACGCAAGCATTCCAAAGACCAAGCTTTGATTCTTATAGTTGGAATGTATGGACTTCAAAGGAATGTCATGATGATTCCACCATCAATTACGTATATAATCGAAACATCCCAGGAGTTTCCATGTTTAAGCAATGTGAACAAAAATCCGACTCCATCAAAAATTGGCCATTTTCTTTCAATGACGGAGGCATATGCTAAAAAAAACGATTACCGTTTTCATGGAAAAACTCCGGCCTATAGTTGACGAAGTGTTGCAGAGATAAATTCATTTATTTAAATTTAGAATCAAGGCTCTTGAAGTCACTGTTTGAAATAAGCATGTTATTTAAATTCGAAATTCAAAGGACTTTTCAGAAAGAGGTTTAAATATCACTCAAATCTCCAGGAATTTATCAAATTTGTGTGTATACATCAGTGCTAGTGTTTGGTGTTCATCAAAAAGTACAAAAACAGTGCAACACGTTGAAAGCAAGGTGATATAAAATTCCAAAAACGTGTTTTTATTCCTCGCAGTATTTGGCACGATAATAATATGGTACTTCTGCAACTTGCGTAGGTTTCAAAACGAGGGCATTCAAATGAACACGTCCGAATGCGAAACCGTACGTATGCCAGGTTTTCAATTCAGCGAGGATCCCTCTGATGGAGATTGATATCAGTATAGTGGAATGAAAAGACCGATCCTCGCCGTCTTTGATCCCAACCACTGGTTCGTGGCCGCAAGGGATCGTATGACACTTGCGACATGATCGTCAGCCATGGTCTCACTTAGGCGGGAATATATGTGGGTCGTGCCTATGTGGACGTCTTCCGAGATAATAAAACGAATATTTCGTCGGGATAATCTCTCTGCTGCGATCCCGACGATGTCGATGACGAGAATGTCCTGGCGCCTCCCACGTGATTCTCTGTCTCTCCTCCGATTTTTTTTCCTTCTTCTTCTGCGCGCTGTCGTCTGACGACGGATCGACAGCGGCAATTTCTGCTTGCCAGACTGGAAGGCGAATGTGATCGGTCCTGCATAGTGCTTGTCGTTACAGACAGGAGGGCCCTGTCGAAATGCACGTCCTTTTTTTCATATTTCGAATGACATTCCCAAATGACAGCCACAAAAAACGTACAGCAGTCATCACGTTTAAAAAATAAATATAAGCATACAACGTGTGAGAATAAGACGAGCTCTCAGATTTTGCGCATGAGAATGTGAAGGGTGTTCTTTTTGCGGATTTCCGACGAACTGCGATCGCATTCAATTCATTTACGGATCTGAGCATTTATTCAGTCTTTTGGTTCTATAAGCGTGTTGTCGAATTAAAATCTTGAAACTTTTTTGATATGAATCGAGGCTGCATAAAATTCAACAAAATTCTTGCTCAAAATATTTGTTTTGAAGGAAAAATATGCAATGCAGCATTTTACCGGGTGATTGAAGACATAATCAAATTTAAGAAGTCTACAAGCTCACATGAAGACATGCATTGATTTTTCAAGCCTTACAGTGGCCCCCCGCCTAACAGACCTCCCGTGTAAGGCATTTTTGCCGAACAGACCAGCTCTGCAAGCAGTTTTTCCTCCCACCCAACAGACAAAATTCGCCAAACAGACTTCTTTTGGTTTAAAATTAGTGTTGAAAACTGAAATTTTTAATTTTTTATGTAATTGAATTTGTGTAAAGGACTTTTTGTCTAACAGACTCATCCCTTNAATTAGTGTTGAAAATTGAAATTTTTAATTTTTTATTTAATTGAATTTGTGTAAAGGACTTTTTGTCTAACAGACTCATCCCTTGCACAAATCAAGTCCGTTAGATGGGGGTTGACTGTATTTTCAAAACATTGTTGTCCAATAAATATACAAGGCTGTACAAAATGATATGTATATCAATATATTTCAGATACTTTCTTGAACAACAAGAAATGTGTGGATAGTTTGAAATAAAGAAAATCTTGTTAAATTAGCTATACAAGGCTTCCTGAGGAATACCCATGTCAAGGTTTAAATTAATTCTGAGGATCACTCAGTAAAACAGGGTACAGTACATACAATATGTATATACAGGTTCAGAAGGAATCAAGGCCAACCAAGATTCCTTCCAACTTTTGGATTCATGAGTCCTGCACTTCATGAATACATTTGTTAATTTATGCATGAGCGCTTTCAAAGTATTTCTATACACCAATATTCATTCAAGAGGCATTTCCTCTTGGATCCTATATTGATACAGAAAATAATGTAGTTGCACAAGACATTTGTCAGTGTCAGCAGTAAAATATATGTGGGGCTTGACTCAAAGAAAAGCATCATGCATTAATGCAGGTGAAGTTCACATAAAGAA